TTCAAGGACAGCTTGGCTCCATCTTACATCTCAGATCTCCTTGACGTTAAAACCCCCACCCGCTCCCTACGATCCTCCCACACCTTCCAGCTCTCCGTTCCCTCGGCCCGTCTGGTCACAATGGGGAACCGGGCATTTAGTCGCTCTGCTCCCCACCTCTGGAACTCCCTCCCTCCGGATTCTGGACTCCTTCCCTCTTTTCAAATCCAGACTTAAAACTTTCCTGTTCAGACAGTCTTATCCCATCTAGTTCATATGCATCACTCCAATATTGTTTTCTTCCTCTGGCTTTATTTTATTTCCTGCTGTTTTGTTTTCTGTGGCATCTTTATGCTTGTACTTTTTAGCTTCCTGTTTTTAATGTTTTTATCTGCCTGTACAGTGTCCTTGGGTGTTGTGATAAGGTGCTTTCAAATAAAATGTATTATTATTATTATTATTATTAAGAGAAATAAAACATCTTGATTTCCAAGCCGAATTGGCTGGAAATGAGGCGGAGTTCAGTGTATAGTTCAAAAAGCTGAATGCGCGCTCCCGACGCAGGGTCTACAAATCCTGGCGGGGATACTTCGTGGTTTTCAAAACAAATCAGTCTCAGTCGCTCGCGTCATCTCGTGCTGCATTCACGGCAGTCCGACATTGGAAATTAGCGGTCGTAATTCTCAAATTATCCATAATTTATAAGCCTTTCCTCCCCTACCGCCAACTGGGGTGGCAGCAGGGGTGGCAAGCTGTCATTTAGGGTGGCATTTGCCACCCCAGTAGATCCGCCTATGACTATATGCTGAAGAAAAATTTGTTTTTCCTGGTTGAAATGTAGTACTTAAATCTATATTTGTGTTTTACTTAAACTTAAAATTTCTCTATGTTGTACTATCCTTAATAAACAGTCTGTGTTCTAAAATCAGGCGTTTGATGAAATAAAACCTGGTTAAATTAGAGAGAGCATGGTGGAGAGAGGTTGGCATGAAGGGATAGAAAGAGACAGATGCATCAGGTGGGGGTGGGGACGCACAGACAGCGTCAATAGAAAACGAGCGTCAAGCATCAGAGAGCAAAGAGGAGCCTCATCAACAAATTTTTAGCATCTTCAAGCGGCCTGTTTTTAGGTAAAGTCCAACCAGCGGTAATATGACCGTTATAAAGATCATTTCGTGTTATTTTTGTCGAAGGTTTGTGCTTAAATTCTATGGCGATGGAGATAATGATGATGGGAGGATGAAGAAAGGGTTGAAATGATCCCCCTGTTTCTCCGCAGAATCCAGACAGCAATCTCAACCTGTTTCTGGTCAGATCCATCCGACTTTAGGCATAGGTTAAGGCTTTCCTTTTGCTATTGCGTGTTTTTTTCGAGCGTATGTTTTCATTGTCGCTTTGTGGGGCGTTTTTCTCCTTAGTGCGCACATTGATACCCCCCAAAAAGAGAAAACGTTATCTGTGGGTGTGTGGACCAGTGTTCTGTTTGTTAGGTTCGGATGTCATTTCGGTGAAATTCAGGTCGAATTAACGGGTTTAGAAGCTAATTTTCTGTGAATGTGGGCCTGTTTTTCAGCGTTGTTTGGGTTTGATGTAAAATGGAGGCTCGATGTGGAAGAGGAGGATGGCCGCCTCAGCTTTGCAAGCTATTCCGTCACACCACTTCTATATATGCTGTTCAATAACATCCAGAAATAATGCTGAGTTATTAGCGTTTTACTCGTCATTGGTTTCCAGCTCAGCAAGTTTTTCCCATACCGCCAATAGGCTACAAGGTCAAATGGACGGATTTCTCGGGGAACCCATCCAGAGGTTATAAAACCAAAAATATAATCCAATATGTTAAACATTCTTCTGAGGGGCAATCACTTTATTACTGAAGCTTCATAATCTAAATGATTGATTGTAAACATGTAGCTGTGGGTGGATTTAATTGTGTTAATAATGGATCTCGACTATAAACATCTAGAATGCACAAAACTTTCACAACTAAACTCCCAGTGAATATTATAATGTATTTATCGCCTACATTAAAATGTTTAAAATAAGTCCTCAGATGTTTTGTTGTCATAATAAAAAGACATTTAAAAGATGACACGATGAAAGTCCAAATGACTTCTATATTTGGTTGAAAGCTGATAAGCCGTAATTTTCAGATAATTAAAAAGACGTTGAAAACCCAATTTTCAGCATAACCGCAGGGTTTCGTCGCACAGTGTGAGTTCACAGCTCATGATGCATGTTCAGCCTGACGCTCTGATGCGATCTACCTGCTCACGCTGTACGTCTAAAAAAACACGTCAGACTGAGGCCCTGTCCACACGAAGTCAAAACGAACACGAAACGCTGATATTTTCCAAAACGTT